GGTGGTGTGTACAGTCAGTCAAAAGCCAGGGATGGCATTGTGGCAGCAACGTACATGTTGGTGTCACAGCCACTAACCACAGTGCTAAAAGGGATTGTTTAGTAGCGGGTCAGCGCTCCCATAGCCCCCCAGGCGTAGCCCCCCATGGCCCTTCCGAGGATATGTCAACCCCTGTGTGTCACTCGATAGTTGAGTCAGGCACCGCATTGCAGTGGACTCTCATACAAAAGTCACTTATACTGGCAAACAATTGATTGAAATTAGCACGAGTTTCCAGTATGAGTTTTATATGAACAGAGTTCTTTCGTAGTTACAGCACCAGCATTGTAATTCGTGGTGTCTCCACCACACCCACTAACAGGTGGGCTCCCTTGATTGGGTTCATACCAAAATACACACCCACTTACAAAATTGTCACCAAACCACAGAACCAGGGGGTCGTGCGGGCCAGACAGAGAGAGCCTTGTATCGCAGTCCTCCTCACAAACCTGGCGACCTGTTCGTGGAATTCTTAAGGAAAAGCAATTCAAGATATCAAGCGGTGGATTGCGGTGCCATCGATAAGTCTAGGGTTTCGCCGTTTGGGAGAGAACAGGAATACGCCGACTAAGGCCTTGTATAAAGTAAACGGGCGATGCCCGATAAGCTATTTTAACGTTACTCGGCGACGTCCGCGCGAAGTCAAGTTTGCTTATTCTGAGGGCTACACAAGCACATTGAACAATGACAAAATGCGAAACACGCGAGAAACGTTTCAGAGGATGCTGAAACCAGGCGTTAGGCGAGAAAAAAGGATTGCATTAAAAGAATGCAGCAACGTGCGGAACATACGAGGGATTGCACATCGCATTCGATGTGCTGACACTCCACTTGCCAAAGTCTCTGTCTCGCGAACTGGTTCGTGGTTTCGCTACATGTTTGGTTTTGTTTTTTCGTCTCTTGCCCACGTGCATGGCTTTGGGCAGTGCAAAATGTGCTGGGATGTCAGCTCGGATGCGTCCTATTTTCGGCTGAACACTGACAATGCGTCTACAGTTGTTGTTACATATGGTAACGATACTAAGCCTTCGCTGACATCCCAGGACGTCACTCTCGGTTTCACTTTATACGCGCCCTGATCCTCCTGATATGTACCCTTTCTGTAGCTCTCTGGCGAGTAGATCAAGTTTACCTTAGTCACGTCTTTCAGCTACGATGTCGGTTGGATCTCCTATCTAGCGGCTACCTGACGACCTGCTTTCTCGGGCCCTGCATTTTCTTGTTCGACCCGATGGCCAGCTGGAGCGTGCAATGGCATCGCATCGCATATCGCGTGCAGGACCAGATCTACTTGCGCAACGACTTCCGTATGGATCCGCTTCGCCTCGTTCAACTTATATCGTCGTTCGGAAATGTCAAAGAGCTCGTCCTTCCCTCTGCCAGCCTCACCTCTGTCTCTGATTCCTTCTTCGCTCGCCTCGTCGACACGTGTCCCCATCTGACCAAGCTTCACGTTGACTCGATGACACGAGGATCCAGTTGCACAGGTGTAACTGAGACGAGCCTTCTTCTATTTTTCGAGAATTGCACTCGGCTGGAGGGTCTTTATCTGCCTTTATTTGAGGGTGCTGCCATTCCTCCCTCCATCGACCATCTGACTTGGCTCAGGAAGCCCTCAAATTTGCAGGGTATTTTAAAGAATTCTAAAAAATACCTCGCTCAGGAAGCTGGACCTCATGGCAAGCGTCACGCGTCTTCTCGACACCTTTACCTCGCTACGGTCCCTAAGAAGCCTCGTGCTCCTCACGTTCGAGCTCCGAGCTTTGCCTCTAGATTTTGGCAATCTGGTTCTACTAGAGTCTCTAGAGCTGCACTGCCACTCTCTGACGTCACTGCCAGAATCCATCGGACAGCTTGCCAGCCTGAACCGTATCCATCAGTTCGTGCGCAACGTTGCAGCTGCCTCGCTCCCTTACCAACATTTCGACTTTGGCGATTCTGGAGATTCGACGGTCTTGAATTATTATACCGCCGTTCGCCAATTTTGGTCGATTGCAGGCGCTCGAAACCCTGGTTCTTGTTGAGTCGTCGGGAATGGGGTAGCTGGTTGACGCTCTCGAGCAACTGCTATAACGCCTCGCTACCCATTGGGTCAAAACGAGGTTACCCAGAGGCGCAGCGGAATGCGTTTACAATCTATAGGGTAATTTCCGTCCGCAGACGTCACACTCGTTCCCCCCTGGTGCCAACGTCCTCGTTGGTTTAGGGAGTCGGCCCTCGCAAGGACCTCTCATTTCACTGGTGCTCCAAGTCAGCGACTTCGTTGGTGGACAATGCCAACGGATAGGATCGTTCGCTGGGTTCGCGACTGGATACAACCGCAGCTGTATTTTCGCACATTCGAGTTCTCGCCACGACCTCAGCCGTGCGCGGAAAATGTGTCCCGACGGGAGTCAAACCCTAAGCTCTGAAACCAGTATAACGCCTCGCTACCCATTGGGTCAAAACGAGGTTACCCAGAGGCGCAGCGGAATGCGTTTACAACCTCTAGGGTAATTTCTGTCCGCAGACGTTACAACTGCAGCAGCTGAAGGCGGCTATCATCAAGGACTGCGGTGATATTACGTCCCTGCCCGCGTCCCTTTCCGGCCTGAGTTCTCTCACCAGCCTCAACCTTGACTTGCATGGACTTTTAGTGCCGCCCGAAGATATTGGACACTTATCAGAGCTCCGGACTCTCACGCTGAGTCTAGTGCACATCAACACCCTTCCAGATTCCATCGCCCTGGTCACGACGCTTCAGGAGCTTTCCCTTAGTCGTCTCTTAAGCCTGACATCTCTTCCCGAGGAGTTCGGGCAGCTGATTGGCATGGAAACGCTGCGCCTGAAGGACCTTCCAGAGCTCACACATCTGCCCGAATCCCTCGGGCAGTTGACAGTTCTCAGGGAGCTGAAATTACTGGAGTGTAGGCAGCTGCAACGGCTCCCGGACTCCCTATCCCAGCTATCTACGCTCGAGCACCTGGAGATTGACATTTGTCCGAGGCTCACTGTGCTACCAGACGGCATGGGGAACGGTCTGCAGAGTCTGCGCAATCTGCATTTGCTGCACTGCACGGCTCTCACCCACCTCCCTCCAACCTTCTCCGGCCTGACTTCCCTCGAAACCCTGAAGATTCTTCACGCAAAACGATTCAGAGGAGCCCTCCTAGACGGCTTTGGTTGCTTGAAAAGCCTCAGAGAGTTGTGGCTCCGTCACTTGCCGCGCCTGGTTGCCCTTCCTGCCTCCTTCTACGGCGTTTTCTCACTGACCAACCTGGAGCTGGTAAACTGCCCGAGAATAATTGACTTGCCTGAGGGCTTTGGACGGCTGCAGTTGCTCGAGGAGGTCAGGATCGCGCGGATGGACGGCCTGAAACGTCTCCCTCTGTCGCTGCTTGAGCACTCCAGACTGCGGGTGCTGGAGGTGCGGGCATGCAAGGGGCTAATTGCGTTGCTAGGGGATGAGAAGCTGCGAGATCGCACTGGCAGGGGTTCTTTGGCAGGCACCAGCAGCAGCAGCAGCAGCAGCAGCAGCGCACTGCTGCCAGCCGTCCAGAGCCTCAAGCTCAAGGATCTCAACTTCGAGTCACTCGGTCCGTCGCTTGGCCGACTGTCGTCCCTAACAAAGCTGAAGCTTATTGACATGCATAGCCTCTCCTCGCTCCCTGACTCCATCTCTCAACTCTCGCACCTGCAAAAGCTCCGGATTGATTGGTCCATGAAGCTGGATCCGCTGCCTGAAAGCCTTGGAGCGCTTTCCGGGCTGCGCGTCTTACAGTTGCTTGGCCTCGTGACAATACGCGATCTGCCCGAGTCTCTTGGACAGCTGAAAATGCTCGAAACGCTGGAAATCATTGACTGTATTAAACTGATGCGACTTCCAGAATCCTTTACGAGCCTGTCCAGGCTGCAGACCTGCACTTTTATCAAGCTCGGTATTTCCTCCATTCCGAATGACTTCTGGAAGCTTTCTTCCCTCAAGGAATTGGTGCTCCTGGGACTGAAGCATTTGCGCAGCTTGCCTCACTCGTTCGCTCAGCTGCCTCGGTTGCAGGTGCTGGAAGTGAGCGTCTGCAAGCAGCTTGTTCGGTTGCCGTCCCTCCGGGGAATGCCGATGCTGCGTGATTGCTCGGTCACTGAATGCCCTTTGCTCTCACGGCGCTCCAGGCGGGGGATTCCTGGAAGGGGAGGCGTGGAGAATGGAGAGGAGGGAGCGGGAGCGGACGAGGAGGATGATGAGGAAGTGGAGGGGGAAGGGGAAGAGGGAGGGGAAGGAGGGGAAGATGGGGAAGATGGGGGGGAAGAGGGGGGGGATGGGGAAGACTTGGATCTATCTGAGGAAGAGAGTGAGTGGGATGATGATGATGATGACATAGATCACGAGTTTGGCATGGACAGCGACAGCGACAGGGACGACGACAGATACTGGGGTCGAAATGAGGAAGAAGAGGACCATTAAGTTGCTGGAACTTGTGAGGAAAAGAGTCGGTGGAAGAGGAGGTGGGGGGGGGGAGGGGGAGGGAGAGAGGGATGTGGGGGATGGGCATTTCTTCCATTCCCGAAGACTTCTGGAAGCTTTCTTCCCTCAAGAAACTGGTGCTCCTGGGGCTGAGGCGTGTGTGCAGCGTGCCCAAGTCCTTCACTCAGCTGCCCCAGCTGCAGCTGTTGCACCTGATCGCCTGCAAGCGGCTGGCTCGGCTGCCGAATTCCCTTCGGCGAATGCCGACGCTGCGTGAGTGTTACATCAGTGAGTGCCCGTTGCTCACACGGCGAGACACTCGGAGGCTTGCTGGTGTTGGAGGCATGGAGGATGGAGAAGAGGGAGGGGGAGGAAGGGGGGGGGGGGGGGGGGGGAGGAGGGCGAGGAAGAGGGGAGGGGCTTGGAGGGGGAGAGTGATGGGGAGGATGACAACATCGACCACGAGTACGGCTTTGACAGCGAATGTGAGGAGGAGGACGACTGCTGCTGGCCGGAGCGCGACGATGAGGAGGAATAAAGGGTGGAGGGAGGGAGGTTTCGGGGGGGTAACGATGGGCTAATGGGGTAGGGGTGGTGTCGGTTGGGTTGTAGTGCCATGGTTGTGCAGTCACACATTGCTGAGCTTTCAATTTGACTTCGCGTGCGTTGGTCGTTGCGTGAAAATTGTCTTCGTGCTTGTGTTAACCTCTGCTCAGTGCAAAAGAGACCTGGCCGAATGAGGCTGTAGAGAGTTGACTTCACAGTTGCCTCGTATGATGCGCTTTCACAGCCTCATACATGTACCTCCCATCCCACCATCTCGAACCTGATGTTCTTGCTTGCTTCCCTGCATTCCATGGATATGGCACATGGTGACTGCAAAATGCATGAAAGCATCTCATAACCACTGCTACTCAGCAGCGCTACCCCATGATTTCTCCGGTTCAGGAGGAAACTTGGTGCTCAGAAACTCTTTCTTCCGGTGCATGAAATGCACGGCTAGAAACTGCACTGGCTCCGTCTGCGCCTCCTCCTCCCACCCGCGGTAGAAGGCATAGTGCATGGTCGACGGGCACTTGTCTCCGGTCTTAAACTTGAAAAAGGGGCGGCCCGAGGTGAGGGAGAAGTTGTTGTCGAAGACGCAGGGGCCCTCGTTGGACCACGAAGAATTGAGGCAGTTCCGTGGCTGGCACAGGGATTGCACTCGGAAGCGCGGCTGAATGCCTCTCTTGCGCAGAGCCTTGGCTGTTTCGGGCTTGACGTCTGAAACACATGGGGGCTCCACCCACTGAAATGAGGAGGGTGGAGAGGGGCGGGAGAGCGGGGAGTGGGGGGTGGGGGAAAGAGAGAGGAGTTGGGGCAGCGCCGTGGCTGGCACAGCGACTGCACTTGGAAGCGCAGCTGAATGCCCCGCTTGCGGAGAGCCTTGGCTGTTTCGGGCTTGACGTCTGAAACACATGGGGGCTCCGCCCACTGAAATGAGGAGGGTGGAGAGGGGCGGGAGAGGGAGAGGGGTGGGTGGGGGTGGGGGAGAAAAGAGCAGAGATGGGTGACAGAGTGAGAGCACACTCCGAAGCAGGGGCCATTGGATGGCCCTCTTGTATTTTTGAGGCGCCTCAAAAATAGACTCCTCACGCACGGAAGCAGGGGTCATTGGATGGCCCTCTGGTATTTTTGAGGCGCCTCAAAAATAGACTCCTCACGCACGGAAGCAGGGGTCATTGGATGGCCCTCTGGTATTTTTGAGGCGCCTCAAAAATAGACTCCTCACGCACGGAAGCAGGGGCCATTGGATGGCCCTCTTGTATTTTTGAGGCGCCTCAAAAATAGACTCCTCACGCACGGAAGCAGGGGTCATTGGATGGCCCTCTGGTATTTTTGAGGCGCCTCAAAAATAGACTCCTCACGCACGGAAGCAGGGGTCATTGGATGGCCCTCTGGTATTTTTGAGGCGCCTCAAAAATAGACTCCTCACGCACGGAAGCAGGGGCCATTGGATGGCCCTCTTGTATTTTTGAGGCGCCTCAAAAATAGACTCCTCACGCACGGAAGCAGGGGTCATTGGATGGCCCTCTTGTATTTTTGAGGCGCCTAAAAAATAGACTCCTCACGCACGGAAGCAGGGGTCATTGGATGGCCCTCTTGTGGAGGGCTGTGGCTGTCACGGGGGGTTTGATGCCCAAGGACGCAAAAATCGGTCACATCCACGTTTGTTGAGTTCTGTGCTGAACGACCCAAGGTCTCAAAAATCGGTCCAGTTCAGTTATGAACGACCCTCCACCTCTTCTCTCACCTGCAGCCAGCACCCAGCGAAGATGTGCCACCCCTTGATGGTCACATCCACGTTTAGCAGCAGAAGCACCAGATCTTGTCTCTCATTCCCTTCAACTCTCCCCCTTCACCACCCTTCACCGCACTGCACCTGTCTCCATACCTGCAGCCAGCAGCCAGCGAAGGTGTACCATCCCATGATGGTGACATCCACATAGGAGGGCAGCAGCACCAGATCCTGGCTCTCCTTGTCGCCGCCGAACAGCGCCGAGTCAAAGACGGCATGCAGGAAGAGGCACCAGTCAACGAGAGCAGCGTAGGACATCAATGCTATGTGCGTGCCCACTCCTGCAAGTAGAAAGCGGGGGGGGGAAGGGGTCATTGATGCGAAGAGCGCCAAGTCAAAGACAGCGTGCAAGAAGAGGCACCAGTAGACGAGAGCAGCATTGGACATCAATGCTATGTGCGTGCCCACTCCTGAGAAAAGGGACCAAGGTATGGGCGGCAGGAAGGGGCGTAAGACGAGCGCCCTGTCAAAGGCCAGAGAGAGCGAAGGGAACAAGCAGGCAGTCGCAAGCAGACTAGCCTTACTCACCAGCAGAGGAGTACCGCGTGGGTTGCAGAGGTGGCCTGATGCTGGGCCAGCGTATAGGGAGGACGAGGTTGGAGTTGGGAAAGAGCCACACATTGTGCCACACACTATCGCTCTCCCACCCACTCACCCACGGACACACTCACCTGCAGAGGAGTACTGAGTGGGTCTCAAAGGAGGCCTGATGCTGGGCCAGCGCGCTGGGAGGGCGAGGTCGGAGTTGGGGAAGAGCCACGCCGCCACCTGAGAGGCGTTGGCGAAGAGCAAAGGGGGGCGGATCAGATAAAGCGGACACTGCAAGGCAGAGAATAGCTACTGAAAGGCCGGAACATGGGAGGCCGGCAGGCACCCGGGAGGCGTTGCTGAATAGCACAAGAGAAAGCAGGCATTGCAGTGGCTTGCTGTGTATAATGCCAGAATGGAAAGAATGCTAGAATGAAAAGAATGCTAGAATGGAAAGAGTGAAGATCAAGCGGGGCGGGCACCTGAGAGGCAGGCGTTGGCACCTGGGAGGAGTTGGCACCTGGGATGGGAGGCGTTGGCACCTGGGAGGCGTTGGCACCTGGGAGGCGTTGGCGAAGAGCATGACTTCGGTGGCGAGGTGGAAGATGCGGCCATAATTATGGCGCTCCATGAACTTCTTTAGAATGAACCAGCGCACCTTGGGGGAATAGGACGGGGGGGGGGGGGAACGGAGAAAGTAGGGGAGAGAGGGAGAGAAGGGGAGAGAGAGCGATACATGGACCGATTGGGAGGGAAGGGGCACTATGATGTCGTAGTTGTGGGAAGGAGACCGATTAGTTGTGGCGCTCAATGCGCTCAATGGCGCTCAATTCACTAAGGATGAAACAAAAGAGACTCACCTGATAAGGTGAATAGGGAGAGAGAGGAGGGGGGGAGAGGAGCGGAGGTGAGTGCAGAACGAAAGAGGGAAGGTTGGGCGAGGGGAGGTGAGTACTCATGTGCACACAATGCTTCTCATATGTAGCACTCACATCACATCACATGCACATCCACAGGAGTCCTAAGGTTGCGAATGAACCACTCATAGACTTTCTCGCACTGCCTTTGCACACAAACAGTACTCAGACGCCCATGAACAGTACCTACACCATGCACACGGGCAGCATTCACATGCACGCAAACAGCACTCACATGCACACCAGCAGCACTCACATGCACACCAGCAGCACTCACATGCACGCAAACAGCACTCACATGCACACCAGCAGCACTCACATGCACACCAGCAGCACTCACATGCACACCAGCAGCACTCACACGCACACCAGTAGCACTCACACGCACACCAGCAGCACTCACATGCACACCAGCAGCACTCACATGCACACCAGTACCACTCACATGCACACCAGTACCACTCACATGCACACCAGTACCACTCACATGCACACCAGTACCACTCACATGCACATCCACAGGAGTCCCCAGGTTGCGGATGAACCACTCGTACACCTCCTCGTACTCGGCGTGCTCCTCAAAGCGCACCCCCATGTGGAAGAAGAACTGCCGGCACTCCCGAGGCCCGATGAAGTGCACCGCGTTGTTGTGCTTGCGCGCCTGGTGAGAAGGCAGAAAAAAGGAGATGCGTGTGATGGTAAGTGGAGCAATAGAAAGGTTTCATGTGCATGCGCTTGCGCGCCCCGCAAGACAGCAGTAAGAGAAGATATGTGTGATGGTAAGGGGTGGCCCTCCCGAGGCCCGATGAAGTGCACCGCGTTTTTGTGCTGGCTCGCCTGGCAAGAAAGGAATATATTTTCTTATAGGCTAGTGTAACTAGTGTTGTTTCTCTTGGCTAGCGTCATTTCATAATGCAAGCAAGTTTCGTGCTCACTGAACAATGTAATGTACAAAAACTGTACATATTCATATTTCAACATAAGAATTAAAGAACGACACGCATGCTGTAAATCCTTGCATTGTATGCCGTTCCTTGTATCGAGACCATGCCATCTCACCTCGGACACTATTTTATAGACGTAGTGTGACTTGTGGCAGGGAGAGGCTCCCGGGCGGCCGTGGTAGAACACCACTGGCACCTCCACCTGCACCTGAGAGAGGATGGCGAGTGATGGGATGATGGATGGAGCCACAAGTGATGTGAGTGAGTCATTTGCTAGTGCGCACTTGTGGATCCGAGAGGCTCCCGGGCGGCCGTGGTAAATGACCACCAGCAACGTGATATGATATGACGTCTCAAAACCAACCTTATTTCCACTCCACCTGCACCAGAGAAAGGACGGGGGGTGATGGGATGATGTTTAATGAGTAGATTTTTGAGTCGACTAAAAAATCGACTCATTACACACGGGGGTTGATGGGATGATGAGTGGAGATTTTGAGACGTTTCAAAACTGGGATGAGCGGAGGTGAGGTGTGTGAGTGAGTCGATCACGCGCACTTGTGGCCAAGGTTCAAAATTACGGCGTTTTTTATATTTTTAGCCCGTATTATACGGTTTCGTAATTTACGGCCGTATAATACGAATATTACGGTTCGAAATCACCTTTTTTGGGTTGGTTAAAAAAAACGGCCGTATTTTACGGCCGTTTTTTTGAACCTGTGGTGTACATTCAGAATGTCGAATTCCGTATCAGGATTTTGGGGATGGGGGTACACGCGCAACCCCGAATGTTCATAAGTCAACGTTTTCCCGAAGCGCGAAGTCACTCGAACCCCGAGTCGCGCATTTTACCGAATTTCCCTGGACCGTTACGAAAGAACCCCCCCTTCGCGAAACCCGTTGGTTCTTTTCGCGCCCAGTAGGGTGGTTTCGCGCATTTTGCGAAACCCCCCTGCCGAAGCGCGTTTCGAAAACAGAACCCAATGGATTTGGGTTCTCTTCGAAGCCTTTCTCAACCCAAATTCGAAGTGCGTGAGATACAAAATACGTAGGACGTTTTGTAAGCTGCCATAGGGCTTAGTTTGGAGCGTTTTTCTAGCTGAAATCTAAGCCAGTTTACTCTACCGCATAGCAACTCCAGATTTCCTTGACATCGCTGACTTAAAACACCTCCGACCTGTTTCCAGCGTATTTAGACAGCGTCGCAGACATGGGCAGGGCGGTGTCCGCATGTGGGAACACGTCCGCCGAGTTAGGGGCGAGGACGGCAAGGTCCTCCGAATCGAATGCCTCCATTGCGAATCGGCGCTTAGTAACAGTGCAACCAGGATAGGCGAGCACCTATACGGAACGCCCGCGACGAAATTCAAGAACGTGGCTGAATGCCAGTCGGAATTCGCCAGGAATCTTCGCGCCACGGCCGAGGCGGAGCGCAGCTCTACCTGCTCCACAGCGGCACCTGGCTCCGTATCAAAGATTGGGGGGAACGGCAAAGCCGTCCTCGACAGCGCGACATTCGCGACCTCGTTGACCCTAAGGCGCGCGACCACCTAGACTACCTATGGGCATGCGCGGTGGCGGAGAACGATTGGTCGTTCTGGTCTTCAAGGTATGTATTCCCATTGTGTTGTTGATTGATCTGCTGTTTGTCACCTTTCAAGCATGCGCATGCATTGAATTCGGCAGAGAAGAACCACTAAGCAACCTAACCCGCCACTTGCCCTACTTGCAGGTCCAAGGCCGTTCAGGCCTTTGTGGACGCTGCTGTCGCCTATGGGAAGCCCTATGACCTTCCCTCCGCATACAAGGTCGGCGGCCCCTTGCTGAAGAGGCTGAAGGCCGACTCTGACGCGCTAGTCCAGCCCCTCAAGGAAGACCGTGGGGTGCACCCTGTCGGTTGATGGTGGTCGGATCTGAGGAGTAGGAGCCTCGTGTGTCTTATTGCCAGAACGACACGGCCCTGTTCTGGTCGAGGTGGTGGACTCAAAACCGCCAAGAAAACCAGAGTTTTCTTGGCGGGTTTGATTAGATCCGCCATCTGCAAGATCGGTGATAGCTCGGTTGTCCAGGTTGTCATGGACAACGCGAGCAATAACCGAAGGCGGCGCTGGAGTTGGCGGATGGTTTTCCCCAGGTTTTCTTCACGAACTGCGCAGCCCACTGTCTGGATCTTATGCTTCAGGACTTGGGCGCGCTAGACATCATCGAGCGGGTGCTGTTTCAGGCACACCGCTGCGTGATGCTCGTGAAGAACAGCTCGAGCGCTGTAACCCTCTTTCGAGAGGTGTTTAGTGAGCTCGAGCTGGTCGCCCGGGGACTACCCGTTTCGGCACTCAGGTGATAATGATCACCCGTTTTTTGGAGGTCAAGTCAGCCATGATGCGGATGGTGATCTCTGAGGAGTGGAAGGGGTGGCCGTTTCCAAGACAAAGGAGGGGAAAAATATCAAGAAGCTACTGCTGGAGGACACCTTTTGGGAGGGGGGTGGCGGCGGTCCTTGCCCTCATGAAGCCGGTGTATGAGGTGCTGAGGGCTGTCGACCGTAGATCTCTGCTTATGGGCAGGATCTACGGCCTCATGCTCGACGCGACGGTCAAGACAAACGCGGCCGCGGTTGCAGCGGGTAAGGGCTCACCTCGTAATTCCTTACCTCGTATTATCTGCATTCTCCCTCCAACCCGTCACACCGCTCTCCGTTCTCTGCATTCTCCCTCCAAACCGTCACACCCGCTCTACCTTGTATGCATTCTCTTGTTTGCTGCCCGGACCACAAGCCTTGAACATGACTCACCTCCCTGCCCCCGTCACTCCCTCCCTATCACACGGCAATCCCCCCTGCAGCAACTTTTTCGTGAAGCAGACCCCGTTGCTGCCGCAGAGGGACCGGGCTGCCTTTTGGCCACGTCAAAGCCATCATAGCCCACAGGTGGGATGGGCAGCTCCACAACCCCTGCAGGCCGTGGGGTGGCTCCTCTCCCACGCAACCAGTTTGACAAGGAGGTCCGCGACGACCGTGAGGTCAACAAGGGTTTCGCCACAGTCATTGGGGCATGGGAGAGCGAATTGCAGCGGCAGGTCCTGCTGCAGGCACAACTCGCCTCCTTCCACAACGGGGAGGGCGGTTGGGCAGCCAGCAGGCACGGTGGGCGGCCTCCACTCTCGTGGCGAGTGGGCGCCTGTCGGAGGCGGAGTGGTGGGTCATTTTCGGGGGTGAGGTAAAGGAGCTGCAGGAGATGGCTGTGAGAGTGCTTTCACAGCCCCTCACCGCGTCAGAGGTCGAGCGCTGGTGGTCCGCCATGAGCCGGGTTCAGCGGCGCGACCGGAACCGGCTGAAGGCCGAAACCATGGTCGACGTGACCTGGGTGGCCTTCAGCAGGCGCGCCAGGGCAGCGTTCGACGAGAAGGTGGCTGAACGCGCTAAGCTATATGGGGACTTGGCGGAGGGGAAGATCGGGGAGGGACTCCCCGGGCCTAGTGCCCCTCCACCAGAATCTGAGGGCTTGGAGGTGGAGCTTGGGGAGGAGGAGGGGGGGGAAGGTGGCGGGGAATGTGCCATTGATTGGGAGACCTTTGGGCTGGTCGGTGGGAGGGGAAGAAGAAGGGGAAGGCAAGGTCGGGAAGCGGGCGAAGAGGCATAGCGGGAAGGGGAGGGGGAAGAAGAAGCAGCGGCGTACCTTACACGAGGAGGCGGAGGGAGAGGAGGAGGAGGAGGAGGCTGAGTGTGCTATTGATGAGGTCGGAGCTGCAGAATCCAGCAAGGGGGCAAAAGGGGAGGCCCTTGGGATGTGAACCAGTGTGAGGATGAGGAGGAGGAGGAGGAGGAGGAGGAGAGGAGGAGGAGGAGGACGAGGAGGATGAGGACGAGGAGGATGAGGAGAATGAGGGGAGGAGGAGAAGGCGTAGAGTAGGAGTAGGATGAGGAGAATGAGGAGGAGGAGGAGGTAGCATGTGCAAGTGTAGGGATTAGGTGCAAATAGGGGTCATGCCTGTCTGCAGGTCGTGTTTGTAGGTGCCATGGTGCACTATTAAGCATTCAGTTTACGTTGCAGCCGCTTAGGAGCCAATCTCCCTCCAAAAAAATAAATCAAGTGCTCTATTTAAATTACGCCGTTTTTTTCCGAAACTGCCCGAAAAAAACGGTCGTAATTTACAGTCCGTATTTTTCGAAAAACCGTAATTTTGAACCTTGCTTGTGGCAATGAGAGGCTCCTGGGCGGGCCGTGGTAGATGACCACCGGTACCTCCGCCTGCACCTGAGAGGGGAAGGGGGACGAATGGGCTGAGGATAGGTGAGGATGGGCGGCAGCAGGCTTCTGGGCGGCAGCAGGCCTCTGGCAGCTGTGGTAAAAGACCACTGGGACCCCCAGCTGGAGGCGGGGAGATGGGACGAGGAATGGGGTGGATAGAAGCGTCCTTTCCTCAACATACGCCGTGCCAGGCAACAGCCTCTAGGAGCTGTGGCAGAACATCGCTGGGACCGCTACCTGGACCTGAGGGGGTGTCAGGGGAGGAGGAATGGGGTGGATTGAGGTCACTTGTGTGTTTCCACCACCCACTGGGACTAAGAAGCTTCCCACTCTCCCTCCCTCCCCTCCCTCCCTCCTCTCTCCCCCCCTCCCTACCTACCCTCTCCCCTCCCTCCCTCGCCCGTTCCCGTCCCCCCCCCTTTCCCCTCCCCTCCCCTTTCCCCCGTCCCCCTCCCCCTTCCCGTCCCCGTCCCCTTTCCCCCGTCCCCTCCCCCTTTCCCCGTCCCCCTCCCCTTTCCCCCGTCCCCCTCCCCTTTCCCCCGTCCCCTCCCCCTTTCCCCGTCCCCCTCCCCTTCCCCGTCCCCTCCCTTTCCCCCTTCCCCCTCCCCCGTTCCCCCTGTCACCTCGTTGGGGTCCCAGTGGGAGGTCGGCGGCGTGAAGGACGCCAGAGTGGGGGGTCATCCCCGCTATCAGCTGCCGCGGAGAACGCGTTATAGAACGCGCTGTCAGGCCGTACGCGCCGTACTCCTCCTCCCCGCGCGCGCCGCCGCCGCGCGACCACGCGTTAGGCCGGCCTAAGAGCGACAGAGTTAAATGCTCCACTACGTAACTTAAGTGTAGGAGACTATTATAAGAATCGTTATATACAGGCACCTAAGCGCGGGGAGGATGGGCGGAAGCGCCGGGGGAGCCGGGGGAGTAGGGCGGGGAATACAGCGGGGAATACGGCGGGGAACGCGGCGGGGAATGCGGCGGGGATCGCGCGGTAGCTCGGGAAGCGTGGGTGAAGAGCGGGGAGGCGGAAGGGCGGGAGGGAGGGGGAGCGCGCGGAGGCGAAGGTGGGGTGATTGTGGCGCCCGCTGGCGGAAAAGGTGCGCTCCATGGGGAAGATGGGGGGAGACGGGGGAAGAGGGGGGAAGAGGGGGAAGAGGGGGAAGAAAGGGCGGTGCGAGAATGGCGGCCCTAGTGGCTTCAACTATCTGTGCTGTGACCGACGGTGCAGCTGCTGCCGCCGCTGCTCCTGCTGTTGCTGCCCTCCCGGATTCATCATAGCGATGGCGGTCTTGGAAGGATTACTGTAAGTTGCATCTCATTGCAAGGAGCTCGCAAAGGTTCGACAGGCTTTCGTGAGCTTGTTCGACCTTCGAGGCCGCACAGGAGGGCGGGGGAGTAATCGCGAAAGGCTGCTGGCTGGGAAGTTGTGTGTGATGCGTGGGCAGGTGTTGGGCTGGTGGTGAGGTCGCCTGCCGAACTCGACAAGGTGTAAACTTGATATGTCCCAGTACTGTAACAACCCAATTTTGAGTACACCTCGAGTGGTTTATGAAGTTCGGAAAAATTCCCCCCACAAAAACAATTGTGCCTAAACCCCCGCCTCATACCCCAACACAAAAGTCCCGTCCCCCGCATTCTAAACCCTCATTCTCCCAGTCCGCAACCCCCGTGCGCCATTCTCAATATTCCCGAACTCTCGATACAATCACGCCACAGCCACCAAAGGCCGAGTCAGCTTAGGCAGTCTACGAGGCCGTCAGCTTATTTTGCACTGAAGAAGGCAGAATAGAAGCACGCGGATTTTTTCGAGAGGCGAAAAATCGCCAGAGCGCGCCGATGGCGGGCAGGAGGGGGGGGTCGGACAGCGGGGTGGTGGGCGGAGCGCGCAAGGCGGGGGTTGGGGCGGGGCGTTCCAAAGAGCGGGGGAAAGAAGCGCTCCTGGCGGGGATTTTCCCGGGGCTATCCGGGGCGGGCGGGGCGGAAGGGCAAGGGGAGGGGGATTTGCGGGCAGGCAGCAGGGGAGGGGGCCGCGGGGGAGGGGCGCGGGGAAAGGATTCTCAGCGTTCCGCCAACAAGGGGGGAAAGCGGGCGGCGCAGCGTGGGGCGGGCAGAAGCGGTTAGATTCCGCGCAAGGGGAAGGGGGAAAAGGCGGAAACGAGGGGAGATGGCAGGAGGTCAAAGTTGCGGGTACGGGGGGAACGCGGAGCGGAGTGAGGCGGAAGGGGAGAAGGCGGAGCGGAAGGCGAGGAAGCGGAGGGGGGTCGGATGTTGTGTTTTCGTCGGGTAAATTCGCTGACCTCGGACTCTGCGAGACGCTCGCATCGCATATCGAAGGTGCGCGGAATGCTACGGAGGCAGATGATCCCTGTGCCGGATAAACCCTCCTCTCCCTCCCGTAAACCCTGAATCAGTTAAGCCCAACGTAAATGCACCGTGAGAACGACAAACGCTAGACTGCCAGATTATAAGCCTTGTTGCATTCCTTCTCGCCTGTTAACACGAGCTTTTGTTCCCCTTCCCCCCATCGTTTCCCCCCTGTTTTTCCCCACTTCCCCCTTACCCTTCCCCTCAAACCATTCGTCTCGCAGAGAAGCTCGGGTTCGCAGCACCGACGCACGTGCAGCAGGCCGCCATTCCGCTCGTCCTCGCTGGCCGAGACCTGTGCGCCACCTGCTGCCCTCCCTGCTGCCCTCCCTATTGCCCGCATTGCCCTCGTTGCCCTCTTTCCCTTTCCCTCTCTACCCCATTGCTCCCTCACCCCCCTTTCCCTCTCAACCCCATTCCGCTCCTCCTCGCTGGCCGAGACCTGTGAGCGAACTGCCCTCCCTTCGTTGCCCTCGCTTCCCTGTTATTCGCACTACCCCGCCCGTCACCTTCGATCTCTCTCCCATTGCTCCGTCCCCTCTCCTCGCGCCTCCTTCCTGGGCTCCTTCTCACTGCTTTCGCGCCTTCTCATTCGTATGCCTTCTCACCCTCTCCACCCTCTCCACCCTCACCACCCTCATCACCACGCATCTCAAGGCATGCCTTCTCACTCACTCACCCCTCTCCCTCCCTCCTTCCCCGCCCGCCCCCACCCTTCCAGGCTCATCCGAGCGGACACGGGGTCGGGGAAGACCCTGCTGTACCTGGCGCCCATCCTGCACGCGCTGCAGGGCAGGAGGCAGCGAGTGGACCGCAAGCATGGCACGTATGGTGAGTGTTTGACATATCGCTGCACTTTGTACGCTATAAGCGCAGTGGTGTTATGATTCTAAAAAACGATTTTTTAAGAATTCTAAAAAATATTTTTTTCTAGAATTATAAAAGATGACTACACTGTAGCTATGATGCTCTTTGCTTCTACCAGCAATGCGCGTCTGCTGCTCACAGTATTCTCCATTCCTCCTCGGGTCCTTGAGTGAAGCAAACAGGGACCATCGTGAACAACTCCTCCTTCCCCTTCCCCTTCCCTTCCCCTTCCCCAACCCTGGCAATGCAGCGGTGGTGCTCGCCCCATGCGGCAGATATAGGAAGTGGCGCAGCAGCTGTGCCGCCAGTTTGTGTGGATCGCGCCACGGTGCCCCGGGCGGTGCATCACACCTCTCCCATTGCTCTCCTCCCCCCCTCCCCCTTTCCCCGCTCCCCCAACCCTGCAATGCAGCGGTGGTGCTCGCCCCCACGAGGGAGCTGTGTGTGCAGATAGAGGAGGTGGCGCAGCAGCTGTGCCGGCGCTTCGTGTGGATCGTGCCGGGGCGGTGCATCGGGGGGAGAGCCGCGGCAAGGAGAAGGCGCGCCTCAGGAAGGGGCTGGCCATTGTGATTGCGACACCTGGCGCCTGCTGGACCATCTGCGCAACACCTGCTCGTTCGGGGCTGGCGCACCTGCAGTGGCTCGTCTTGGATGAGGCGGACAGGTGCGTAACTAGTGTGAAAAGCGTGGGCAAGGAAGGGGCTCGCCATCGTGATTGCCACGCGTGGCTGCCTGCTGGATCACGTGCTCGTTCGAGCTCCAGCACCTGCAGTGGCTGGTGCTGGATGAAGCGGACAACTCACCTGCCAGGTCAGCAATGGTGATGCGGCTTGAAGAGAGGGCGGGGAGGGGTGTGTGCGTTGAGGCAACTCACCTGCCAGGCCGTTGCACCCTCCTCCCCCCCTCTCTGCCTGGCTGTTGCACCCTCCCCTCCCCACCTCCTCGACCAGGCTGCTGGACCTGAGCTGAGATTTGGACGAGATACCAAGGAAATCCTCTCCCCGCTGCATCCCTTGCTCCTCACACCAACAGTTCCTTGCCACTAACGCCACCATTCCCCACCACTTCCCACCACTCCCCACCCCTCCCCACCAGGCTGTTGGACCTGGGTTTTGAGCGTGACATCAAGGAGATCCTCTCTCTGCTGCGCGACAGGCCAAGCCAGGACAGCTTGATTCAGGGAGGGGGTATTCAGGGTGCTTCCAGGAAGCTTCAGACACTGTTGCTGTCAGCCACGCTTGGACCGCGGGTGGAGCAGCTAGCTGACGTCAGCCTGGTGTCACCGGTGGCCGTGAGCGTGACAGGTGGCAGCGTGCGAGTGGAGGAGAGGGTGTCTGGGCGGCAGGTGGGAAAGGGAGGGAGGGGGAGGTGGAGAGAGAGGAGATGAGGGAGGGGTGGGTGAGAGAGAAGTGGAGAGGATGGGGGGGATTGAGAGAGAGGAAGAGGACGAGGAGGAGGAGGAAGTGGAGGATGCTGAGAGGTTTGGAGGGGAGGGGGAGGAAGAGGAGGAAGAGGAAGAAGTGGAGGAGGAGGAAGAGGAAGAGGAGCAGGAAGTGGAGGAGGGAGAGGAGGGAGAGGAGGAAGATGATAAAGAGGAGGGAGAGGAGGAAGAGGAGTTGGAGGAGGGGGAGGAGGTTGGGGATGACAACGAGGGCGATGATGATGACGATCTTCCTCTCTTCATGCAGGCTCTGCGTGCCGTGAACAAGGCGGGCAGGCAGGAGAGGAAGGAGAGGCGGGAGACGAGGGAGCAGAAAGAGAAGGAGAGGGAGGGTGAAACGGCAGTCTTGGAGAATGGTAGCAAGGCAGGGAGCCGCAAGGCAGGGGAAAGCAAAGCAGAGGGGAGCGAGGACAAGGTAAATGAGGAGGTGGCAGCAGGCAAGAAGCAAGCTTCAGGCAGCAAAGGACCAGCAGACGCGGTGGGGCGAGGGTCCTCACAGCAGATGCTGGAGAGGGTGTGGAGGAGGGGAGGAGAGGGGAGGAGGAGAGAGGAAGGTGTCAGACGAGGGTTGAGAGCAGGGGGGAGGGAGGCACGGCAGGGCGGGTTGCAGGAGGGCCCCAGTGGTGGAGGCGCCTTTGTCTTCCCGGAGCAGCTGAGGCAATACGTGCTCACAGTATGAATGCCATGGTCTCACACTTACAGGCATGGTTTCTCTTTTTGTCTTGTCATCAGCTCGCCATGTCCCATCCCCATCTTCTCCTCTAACCATCCCCTGCGCCTCCCCCTTTCCCTCGCCCTCTTCCTTCAACTCCCTCCTCCTCCCCCACCCCCCCAAACCTCCCGTCCCCCCTCGGCCTAACCCCACGCACCCCTCCACCAGTCCCCGTGCCGCTGTCGCCTAATCACCCTCATTGCCTTGCTGCGCTCCAAGCTCGCCACGTCAGCGTCATCTAAGGTATGTTGCCACGTCACCAGTGGCTGTTTCCTTGTCACAACCGGCAGTAGCAGTGGCTTTCACGACTGCAGGCTGTGGCCTTCCTATCCTATCCACGTGTGACTCTCTCTCTCTCTACTTGTATGGTTCTTCGTATTGATGTCCGGAATTACCCCATCTTGTGTGCGTCTCACCTGCGCAAGCACCCTCCCCACCCCTCTCAACACCATCTCCTGCCCTCGCCCTACCAGGTGGTCGTGTTCCTCTCCACGTGTGACTCTGTCGAGTTCCACGCTACCCTCCTCTCCTCCCCGTCCTCCATCTCTCCTTCAAGCGACGACACAGCGCAACAGCAACTACAGCAGGGCCTGCTGCAGCGCCCGTGTTCAAGCTGCACCGCAACATGGAGCAGAAAGACCGCTCCAAGGCCTTCCTGGCCTACCGCAGCGCGCCACGTGGCGTGCTGCTGTGCACTGACGTGGCAGCCCGGGGGCTGGACTTCCCGCTGTGGAGACCATTGTGCAGTTCGACTCGCCTGGGGATGCTGCCGACTATGTGCACCGGTACGAAGCTGCCCTGTCTCCTTCCACAACACCATTCCACCTCCCACCTTTCAACCCCCCTCCCCACTTCCCCCCAAACCCCCCGCCCCCAAGCGTGGGTGGCATGGATTGCGTTGGTCGCCGGGGGAGGCAGTGCTCATTCGTCTACCCAACGAGACGGAGTGCCTACACGGCCTACTGGCGGACACAGTTGTTGTCACTGTTCACTGCCCTCGCACCTCACTCTCCTTCCCCCATCTTTCACTTTCCCTCCCCCCTTCCCCCGGTGTAGATCGTACGGCTCGCATCAGGCGCCGGGGCGAGGCAGAGCTCTTCCTCTTACCCAACGAGACGGAGTACCTCCATGGATCCATTGCGCTTATTGCCCCTTATCTTACCCAACCCCCCCCCCCCCCTCTTCACCTCCCGTATTTCCAGTGTGGGTCGCACAGCTCGCATTGGTCGCCGGGGCGAGGCGGTGCTCTTCCTCCTACCCAACGAGACGGAGTACCTGGACGAGCTGCGCTCCTGCCACGTGGACCTCCTCCCCATGCCACTCCTCCCGCTCCTCGACTCCCTTGTGCCCGGAGGTTCGGCCGAACCTGCCCGGACCAATCGTAGGAGGGCGCATTGGAAGGAGTTGAGTCAGAAGAGGCTCTGGCCAATCACCAGCGCGTTGAGACGTGGCAGGAGGAGCTGGAAGCTACGGTGGCGAATAGACCGGCCTGAAGAGAGCTGGCCACTGGGCTTTCCCGGTCGTTTGTGCGGGCGTACGGCGCGCACAAGGGCAGCCTCAAGAGGATTTTCCACCCCAAGAGGCTTCATCTGGGGCATGTTGCGAGGAGCTTTGGGCTATCGGAGACCCGTCCGTGATCGGAAAATCCGCGACCAAGGCGGCTGCAGCGCTGAAGAGGAAGCAGCGGGTGCTGGGCAGCAGCAGAAGAAGCGATTGCGGGCGGCTACTGAGGCCGAATGAAGGAGATCACAGTTTTATATTATCTATGGCTTGTATTTTCAAGGCGTTGTATTCTAAAATATAGTTTTTGCTTGTGGATGGAAAGCAGGGCTGACGTTTCAAAAAAAGGCACTCTGACCAACCCCCCCAAAAAAAAAATAGTCTGAAGTGTCGAGAAGAAAACTGAACAAGTATATTGATAGAGAGAGAGGGAACAAGGGTATATACCTAAGAGTGTTGTACCCTCTAAGAGGTGACCCTATACAGTCTATACAAATATGAGTTATACATATATTTGACACACCCCCTAGACTGCATAAGGGCAAATCCTGAACAAGCAGCTCAGGGCGGCACTACTAGTCAGCCACTGAGACAAGGTCTGAAGACCAGTCAAAAAGGAGTACAGACAAGACAAGAACAAGACCAGGGCGGCACTACTAGTCCAGCCACTGGGAGAGGACACAAGTCCAGTCTGAGTACATATATAGATATATATAGGACAGCACAAAGTCAAGGTCCTAGCAAGTGGAGAGGTTACAGGAACTAGACCGACCTGTACACAGTGCCGCTGATGATCTTTAGGCGCAAGCGCCTTCGTAAAGATATCAGCTGTGTTGGCACCAGAGGCCAGTGAACTACGCGTGCCTGCGCGCTGCTGTAGCTCACGCAGAAGGAAGTACCGCAGCTGGATGGTGCTTCGCTCTGCCTCAAGTCGAGGCTCTTGACACTGGAGTATCATGGCCCTGTTGTCAGCGTACAGGACTGGGGCAGAGCTAGGCCGCTCACCTAAGTCTGTGAGCAAGAAGGTCAGCCAGCGGAGTCCTGTGCCGCCATGGCACCAGCGTAGATCTCAGCTCACAGCTCGACTGAGCAACCGACGACGAGCGAGTGGATCTCCAAGAGATAGCACCCGAACCAAGGCTAAAACAGTAGCCCTACGACGACCTGAGCGTCTCAGAGTCGTCTGCCAAGAAGGTCTGTGTGCCCAGTCAGGACCACTGGCTTGCGTCCTCCTAACAAACCCCATGCCTGATGTACTTGCTAGATATCGCAAAACCCTCTTAGCGGCCGACCAGTGCTGTGGTCGGTGTCTGCCAGTGGCCACAAAGCGAGCCAGGATGCTGAGAGGGTATGCGAGATCTGGTCGAGTGCAAGTCATCAGGTACATGAGGCAACCCACCAGCTCTGCGTAGGGGCCGCTGGGCTCTACTGGCTCCGCAGGAACAGGAGCGGAAAGCCCGTGGTCTACAGGTAGAGGTGTGGGCTGTGCAGAAGAGAACTGAAGACCGAACCTCTGAAGGACCTGATGCACCAAGTGTGACTGGGTCAGAGTGATGGTGCGTGCTGCTCTGTCCCTAAAAGATCTGCAGGCCAAGATAGCGACGCAGCTCTCCAAGGTCAGTGCAGGTGTGTCTCTTCAGCAGCTCAGTCTTCACAGAGGCCAGTGCGTCCCTGTCAGGAGTAGCAAAGACCAGGTCGTCTCGTAGAC